ACGTTACCAAACACACAGACAAATATTTGGCATGAGCATGCGAAGTTGCGCGCTTTTTTGTGATGAGGCAAAATGTCCGCACTAAGAACTAGTTTTGACGAAACTGAAAGTTGTACTAATTTTAACTTTTATGACTAAGGCTGTATAATAATATGGGTTAATGACATTTTATTTAAAAGAGTGTTTGTAATTTAGTTCCATTAACCCCTCCAGCTAAGCTACGAGTAAGTAGGTATATGCTTGCATTAGGAATGACTTTACCACAACGCGACGGGAGACTTATGCCCGTTTTCACCATCAATCCCTAATTTTTAAGTGACCCCTATGTAACACATAACAGGAATTTTGTTTTCATATGGGTCACATAAAAATTAGGGATTAATGGTGATAACGGGCATTAGACTCTAACTACCGATCCCACAAATTGACAGTCCTACCCACCATTTCCTAATAAAAATCCAAATTAATAAAGGATTATAACTAAATGGCAAATTGAAGTCGATAATCGGATCTACGCAAGCATTATTTAAATTGCAAGTGCGTAAACAAAAGTATTAATAATCATCAATATTAAGTTATGTCCTTGCCCTCACAGGTATAAATCGCAAAAAAAGTTAATGTTAAAAACGCCACCTTTGATCACCTTGCTGGCTTAGAGGGCAATTTCGAAAATAGCCCTAATGAAGCCGAAGCGAAGTTGATTGATCTTCTGTGACTATACCCAATTCAAACTGCTTCAATCGTAAATAATAATGCAGGTTTTAAAAACATACACAAATAAGTTAAAGAATACCTAAAGTTTTTACTAATTTAGCTGTGCATTGAAACTTCGTAATATGAATGAAAAATGTTTTCCAGTTAAGTTAGTTGTTTATTCAATCATATCGAGGCGCCAATACTTATGTAGGGGAGACCGGGTACAATAGTACCACGGGTCAATAGTACCATCGGCGATATTTCTTCATACAAGCGACGTTAGATTGTGTGCATAGCGTCAGAATATGCGCTTTTTGTGTTTCCATCCGCTCACCAGTCGGCGGCGCTTGTGCTGAGAAACAAAGGTGTACAGGTAGGATTTTTGTTTTTTGCCCAGCCGCAGTAAGTTTTTATGACAAATATATGAGCCCATAAGTTGCCTAATATGCTATTTGTTACCAAAGTATTGTTGTCAATAGTTTATCCAGGCTCTAAACTTTGTATCGACAGCGAATTATTGGCATTCACTGTGAAAATGACTGAATTTTAGGTGATTCGTTTTTATGGAAGAAAAGTTATTGTGTTGTTTTTAAACTTAAGTGTTGATTTTTCATACTTGTTCCTAAATATTTTCGATCTCAATTAATAAAGACTGATGATTGTAGGAGATTAAGAGAACAGAATACCAATAAAGGTGATGATTAGATAAACATAACTACTTTTATTGCCTCATATATTATTGGTACAATTGACCCGTTGTAGGGGTCAATTGTAACATGAGACATCGTACAGTTCAAATTCGTTTTTCATTAAGTATTCGAAATAATAGTTCAACTCTGCATGCTTAAATTTGTAGCTTAAGAGTCTAGTTTTTACAGCATCCTAACAGAATAAGTTACATTTCATTAGATTTCTCAATATTGAACAATTTCCAAAAAATGGTACTATTGTCCCCGGTCTACCCTACCTACCTATTATGGTGTAGTATGGTATCGCTGAAAGATAAGTAGGTAACCTGCAAACTCAAAACGCTTTGTATTAATTCCTGAAACAAAATAGTTAAAAAAAACATAAATTAACACATCACTGTAATTTAACTGGGTTGTTGGTAATTAGTATTTACCTATTCTGTAATAGAGGCGGGCCAATCTACAATGTTTTCACGTTTCAACGTCTATGTAAAAGTTTATAGGGAAACATAATGTTAACTTAATTTTTATTCAATTAACAAATAATATATCATCATTATTATTCAACAATATATTCAATTAACGTTTCATTATCCTCTTATATTTAAATATAACACCAATTAAGCTCTTAAGAAGATTTATTTACATTTGCGGAAACGTAGGCTTTACCGGAAAATCAACACATGAGATTAATATGCAGATTACATGGAATAAACAATGTAAATTATGTGGGTACTTATTCTAACGAATGTCAAACTAAACTGTGATTATCCTATTCACTAACAAGAGAGGTTTCTCCATGTGTAGCCGCGATGCGACTTGGGACACAAAAATACTCAAAATTTTTACTGTATCATCGTTTTAAATTAACAATTTTAATGTCAGGGTTAGACATCGACAAATGAAATAATATTAGCAAAAAATTTACATCAAAATTAGTTTACCGCAAAAAAAACTGCAAATCACGATGCCGAAATAATACCAACAAGCAAATATTTTCGTAATGAAATAAAATGATTATAAGGTTTTAAAGAGATAAATAAGCCTTTAGCCTAAACCTAAATAAATACAAGAGTGAAAGAAACTCAAAATTTAAAATAAAGTCTAGATTATAGATTCAACTTTGTTCGTCTGTGTGCTTCGTCTGTTAAATAAAAAACACCACGTACATTTTGAAAGTTCGTTACGGGACTTTTATAATAGCGTTAGCTCTACATTATTTAATTTGAGAAACAGAATTTTAACTGGGTAAATTGATAACTGTCTTACTTGCGCAAGATGTAGTTTTTATTAATTGCATGTAATAAAGTTCAATCAAGTTAAATTTCAATTAAAACTAAGGGCCAGACGCAGTTTACGATTGTATAATAATAAGTTAGGCAGTAATAAATACAATGTTCATGCATACAAAATAAAAGGTTTACTTATTTATTATATTTACAAGAACTCTCATAATATTATTTTGGTATTAGGATAATCTTACTTTTAACTATATTATGTGTTTATTATTATTTTAATATTTATTTATTTATTTATTAGGTACATATACTATATATATATAATATTGAGGAAAACGTCTCCATATTTAGAGTTATCGGATGTTTGGAAGGCAAAAGTGCATTTACCTATGCTGATATAAAATATAACTTAAAAGTAACTCACTCTCTGATACATATTTAAATATAAATAAATACCTGCCAGCTATTAATCTTTTACACGGATTTTAAATTATTTTTGTATAAAGTCTCCTTGACATGACACTTTTGTTGTATAGTTTTATTTTCAATTGTTTGATCCTATGTTATATTTTAAAGCATGATATGTGCAATGTGCATCCGTTAAATGTTTATAAACAAGAGTTGATATTGTGAGAGATGAAATAAACTGCGTACCTTACACAAGATCAAATAATTGCCAAGTCTAATTTTAATAATAATTGTGATTTTCATAGAGTAATTGAAGAATATCGAATGGGAAATAAGAAGAGCCCGATTAACCGATAATAACATCTCGAAATAAAACATTTCGTTTATAGGCATTTCCTCAAAAAAATTTAGGAATATATCCCTGATACCTGAAAATATCCCTCGTTTCAGTCAAAGAAAATTGGTCAAGTATAATAAACAATTTGAATGATTTTATCAGCTGTATAAGTTAGTTACTTACACTCAACATCGTACTACCGCAAATGTTCACGAGTTCATAGCGTGGACGTGTCAACAACCTAATAGGGTTTCATGGAACAGGTCTGGAACTGGAATGTCTAGTGGGATCGATGGGAAAGAGGGAAAGAAGGGGCTGAAGTAAACTAGTACTCTCGTAGCGCATTATCAGAGCTGGAATGCCACAATACACATACAGACGGCTACATATTAAGGGAAACACTGTGGTAGCTTATTCAGCTGCAATAGGCGCTATTTTTCAACAAACATAATGTTTGTTTGATGTGCTGTCGTCTGCAAATTAAAGTCGATTCTATGATCTAAGGCTGAGTTGCAGCACCACCTAACTTTGACCGTAACTATAACGATAACCGGTTTTTTTCGTATGGAGTTTGACATATTTTTGACATTTGTAAAAGTTAAAGTAAGATAAAATAATATGGTGCAACCCAGCCTAAGTGTTGGGCAAAAATAAGATTAATAAAACAAATTTGTTTTGCATTATTAGACAGTTCTATTTTAAATAGTTTTAGTAGTTTTCATCCTAGTTCATCTTTAAAAGATTGCTATTCTTGTCACCAACTAGAACTGTGCTAAAATTTTCGTAGCACATCAAGATGTTGCTTGTTACTACAAGGGTTCTGTATGAGTGTATAGTCGGCTCTAAGGATAATATTACACGGCGCTATAATGTAGCAGCGAATACTGGCACTGAAACTGAGTTGTTTATGACAGTGAAAATATGTATGTAAGAATACCTGTATTATGTCTATAACTCTTAAAACGGTGTTTTAAGCTTGAGTTGTTTCTCTTTAAGAAAAAATAAGTTACATCAGCTGCACAATATGTACTAAATCTCTAGCGGTACAGAAGCCTTAAAAACCTAATTGGTGCTTTTATTACTTTTTGTAAGAAATGGTCACAGTTTTTCCCTTCTAAGTATCTAACATTTTTCAACGATTCATTGTTTGTAATATAAAGTCTCGGAGCTAAAGCTTCATGAATAAAAATCATTAGCCTGATTATCATGCATTTGCATTCGATTTCGGTAGGTGAATGTTCTGATTTACAAATTAATTTTATTGTTTCAATAATACGGATTTCCTAATAATTAAAAATAGAAATTGTGCAAGTCATTCATTTCCGTGATTGTTCTTTGGGGTGCTTTATCGTAGGCTCGTAGCATGTGACTTTCATCACTTTCATGAGAATAATAACAAACGAAAAGCATTACATATCAATGCACTCATTGAACTGAGTTTATTGTGTGTTGCACACAGATTCCCAAAAAGTATTTTATCTATCTAGGACATAGTAGACTTTAGTAAGCGATGCACTTCCCCGGAGTGTACGTCTGACGCACTCCGAGGAAGCGCATCGTGTCTCCAAAATGCTCCAATACTTGCGTGTGTTGTGGAACGCATGCGCCCTTCGTTCGGCGCTTGTGCGCATGGGCAATGTGAATCAGTCTGGCTGACAGCTGCCGGTTGGCACCCGCTCGGAAGCGAGCTAGCCGCATCTCTCTGCCATTGCCATTATACCACTGCGCGGCAAACGGCGCAAGGCGTGCGCGGGCCCGACAGTCGATCGAAAACATTCGGTTTTCGAACGCAACGTCAAAAAATACTGGCCAAAATTAGAGCGCGAACGTAAACGCTGAATTAAAAGTAAATAGAGCATCGTGATTGTCGATTTTCAGCGTAGTTGTTTTGTGTTACAATTTCACTGGGACGTTGTTTGTGTGCACTAATGAAACATTTCTTTTCGTGTTTGTGAACTAATTTTAGCCGGCTTTACAAAAGGTAAGGAAACTCTTTGTTTGTAGTGTTTACAACTCCTTTCAGAATTTACAGGGATTTAAAAAGCTATTCGAAGGAGGCCGCATTTTTGCGAAAAGTATCTACATAAACCTAAGCTCATTGCGCTCGTTAGTTGAGCTACGTAAAATTGATAACATTAGTAATGTAGTGCATTTTATCTCAGAAAACCTTGAACTTTTTAAATGATTCTAGTAACTAAGTGATCTTATTTAATTTTAGACCAAATTCATTTAATTGTAAGTGGTTATTATTTAAAATTTTCCGTAGCAAATTCCACTTAAACCACCACATTTGAAAGTACCTACCTACTTTAATATTAAATCATGAAGTACGAAATAGTAGCATGTGATATCCAATGGGGTGGGTGGTGTCGGCGCGGAGTAACCATAAAAGCACCTTTGCCTTAATTGCCCGAATCACCCCTAGTAACTTTATTATTTAGAACTTGTAGTCGCTTTTCATGAGGAGTTAGGACAAAATATGATCCTATTTTATTTAAAAATTAAAAAAAAAAGCAAACATATTTTACTTTTTGTGGGATGAAGTAAAAAGTTACTTTCACAGCGCGACGCGAGTAGGTATATGGGTATTTATCTATTCTGATATACATAAGTAGGTTGCTGCATTTTATATCACTTTAGATTTTCTCATTAATTATTAAGTATCTACTATTCTATCTTGGTATTAATTTAATAAGACGATTATGATTTATGATTAGGCTATTAAGATTTTTTTTCGATATTTCCGACAGTATTTTTATTTAGTTGAGTAGGCTTATCCGAATCAAATCGGACGAATGATAAGTGTTTTTCTAGGAATTTACAAATAATCAGATAATGCAATGATTTACAAATGCACACTTGTCTTGGTCCTTGGTATTGAGTAATATTTTTCTGATAAGTTAATCATAATATTATGATGGAGATAGATCACATTTGAGCTGTGTTATTATAGTAATTTCATAACGGCCTTATAATCGAATTCAATAGAAACTGTTACTGTCTTTGTCGTTATCTAGGAGAGGATGAAGCTTTGTATGGACAATCTGTTTTTCCTCTAGTTTATGGATAGGGAAAAAAATACATACCTGTAACAACTCGTAAGTAATTATGTTTTTAATTTTTTTTTGGTTTTTTTTTGGCACAAAACAAAAAAGTTTCTGAATTTGTTTTTTTCAGATTTTACGCGTGTTTTAGGTTGCGGGCGCGTGTTAACGCGACTTTGACAACTGTAGTTAGATACAGATCGAAGACTTATCATGCGAAGTCCGAAGCAACCGATAGAAGTCGCATTTGGTATAAGTTTTGTCGTTATCTATACTATCTATACTCAATATTATAAATGCGAAAGTAACTATGTCTGTCTGTCTTGCTTTCACGCCTAAACCACTAAACCGATTTCGATGAAATTTGACATAGAGATAGTTTGAGTCCCGGAAAAGGACATAGGATAGTTTTATTTATATCCCGGTATTTGAAACAGGGAGGCGCGCGATAAAGTTTTTCTGTGACAGACAAAATTCCACGCGGGCGAAGCCGCGGGCGAAAAGTTAGTCACTTATAAAGAACCTTTTTCGCGCGAGTATGATGCGTGCTTTATACGAGTGTGTCACATAACTGGATCCCATATGCAATTTAAGTTCGGTTTTGTTGCTGACTGTACCACATCTGGCACTCCGTTAAGCCGATCTTTGAGCTTTCCAATCGTTTCGCCATTGATTAAAGCTCGCTTTTAGTCTTTGTGTGCCATTTTTAAGTTGTAACTGTACATTTGCCAATGAAAGTGTTATTTTACAATATCTTCTGCCCAATATCATTAGGATGGAAAATCCTAAGATTAAAAGTAACCTGAAACTGATGGAATAGGACTATAAGACTTCGGAATTGGTTAGGTTAAATATTAGTTCTAATTGATAAAAAAGGAGGTATCACCAAGTTGTGAAACGTCTAAGTACCTACATAGTAATAACTTGGCAATGCAAACAGTAGGCAATGAAAACCGTTAGGAGTGGCTTGCGCAAAAAGCGTGAAAAATGAACTAAGCAGGTGCCAGTGTCAAGAATGATAAGTCCACAAACTTGACTTTTTGAGTCGCAATTAAAGTAGATAACTAATTTAGGTGCCTACTGTATTATCATCAATCTAAATTTAACCGTAACTATAACGATAACCGGTGTTTTTTGTATAGAGTTTGACAGATTTTTGATGTTTGTTAAAGCAAAGTAAGATGGTGCAACCAATCATCTGTAGAAAGTCTTCAACAAATAACAGATGACAGTCTGCAAGGAAAGTAGGTACGCATCATAATACTAATATGCACCGTGAAATGTAAAAGTTTCAATCAATCAATCATTATTTATTATTAGTTACCTATTTCAGCGATTTAACAATTCTTACAAACATACAAATTTTTAGAAATTAAAATTAGAGGTTATTGCCATAAAAGTAGAAATCACGAGACAATAGAACCTTGCTTTTACAATGGCGGTTGCGTATTTGGGTCGCGCCCGCTGCCGCTGCATTGATAAATGCACTTAGATGAGAAAAAAAAATACATTTTCAGTCGCAATTACAGCACTGAATGACAAATAAATAATTATTTTTGCATTTAAATTTCATTGTGCGTCAGAAATCATACATAATTGAGAAGTAAAAATAGCTTTATGTCGAGGTTTTTATCTACACAAACTTATTATAATAATTTATTAATTTACCTTATGAAAATCGGTTTGATATTATTCTTACGATTCTTAAGGCCTTTGAGTTATTTAACGCTTTCAATTGTAAATTGTAATAAATTTATCGGCAATAAATATAAATCGACACGAGCAATCGAAAGTTGATTTAACTGCCCATCAATAGCTTTTATCACAGCCTACTTGTAAAAATAAATACACATTCTGTTTTATACCTTCGATCTATTGGAATTTATAAGAATAGAACCATAGAATCTAATTTTAATCGTGATTTGAGATGAAGCACATTCTATGGCACAAAGATTTCAAATACTTAATAATCAGAATAAAATTATAATCAACAACTTAAGATGACAGTTGCATATGGACACCAGACGAGATTTTGACTCAGGTGGGTTTTAATACTACTTCAAATTAATTTTACAAAAGGTATAGTGTTTCTTTAGCAATGTAAATGCGCTTTTTAAAAGTGTATTTACGTACAGGAAGAAATTACTACCTACATAGGTTAGTACCTAGTCATAGTTGACTTTTTATGATTTGAATGCTTTCACCTCAGATAGTTTACAATATAAGATTGTGATTTGAATGAACTCATCGCGTTTTTGTAGTGAGCAAGCGCCGTTATGGTGACCCTAATATTGCTGTGGAATGAAAATTGCTTGGAGATGGAGACCCACTATGTCCGATTGAAATGAAGACATAGTTGTTTAGTTTAAAAAACGTTAGTAAAGAGTAACGTCGTAGTGAAAAATATGGGAGAAATTAACAGGACCTGTAAACATTAAGTTATTTATGATGCAGATAAATACTATAAAATTGTAATAATATAGGATACTAATGGTGAAAGAATTTTTCAAATCGGTCCAGTGGTTTCGGAGCCGAATACAAAGAAACAAATCTTGAAATAGGTTTTTGAATAGGTAGTACTTACCGACATCATTGTTTTCATGTCCTTTGTGGGATTCGAACCTTGACAACAGTAGGTAACAGACAAAATAACGGTATATGTATAACATCAGGCTCAACAATCCGCTGTTATAAAACTTTAGATCAGATTTAAGATCTTAACAATGCCACAGAATAAGTAATAGTACAGGACAATGCATAACAAAACTGTAAACAAGTATAACTGCGCGCACGCACGTTGAACTGCGTTGGTTGATGTGATTTTGATTGGATGCTTTTTAAATAAGGTAGAACATGTAATTTGTAATTAAACTTCAATTTTAGTATGTCTGTAAGCTATATTTTAAACAAACCTGTTCTCGTAAAATTCATTTAACGTGAGCCTAGTTTAAAATGGACCAAATGGATTTAATAGGACCAGTCGGAATAAAAATTTGTGGAATCTTAAGCGGTCGAGCCTATCTAAATACATAGGATTTACATTTATAATACCATTCCAATGTTTGGTTTTGACTACTTTTACAAGTACTTAAGATGAGTATGCTAATCAATGTGTACCTTTTACTAATTAAATATATTTTAGTTTTGTAATATTTAAAAATACCGATTAGGCCATATCATCCATTTGCCTCTGGTCGAGTGGAAAGGGTCGTGCTTCTGCTGTGGAGACTAAATGGCCATGATGAAGACTAAAAAACATTTTAAAGGTCTACATAGGCTAGGGTCTTTGAGATTTTTCTTCGTCGCTACACTCTTGCTAGAGTAGTCGTGGTCGTCACACCCGGTCTGGTGGCAAGCCTTACAATCCGTCGCCATTCCTCCCGCACTGCAGCCTTTCTTGTCCACTCGTGGAGTGGACCATTGAGTGCGGTTTTGACCTGGTCAGTCCAGCGCCTGGGTGACCTGCCACGCGCTCTTGTGCCCTCAACCTTCTCCTGCGCGATAAGTCGTTTAACAGAAGCGACGTCTCCACGTGTAATATGTAGGGTCCTTGAGATACATTACACCTAAGTTTAAGTAGCCTAGCACTAGGGTCTAGGCGGCACGTCAAGCTAACACTGCTGCATCTTGAGTAGTTGTAATAGATTCGATTTTGCAACCAAACGTATTAGTCTGATGACTTGTTGTCTGCATAAGAAAATGCGAAGGTAACTGTACCTCTTGCACGAAAATCTTTCAACTTGGAATCATTTGTGTAGTCGACAAATTCGATAGTCAGTTCAACGATAACGTGACAGTCTCGATTGTCAAAATTAGTTTCGTGCTACCATTTCGCTAAGTGAACCGATGATCTGGTGTTTTGGAAATCCTTGGGGAGGCCTTTGTCCAGCAGTGGACGTCATTTGACTGAAACGATACAATACGATATCATTTCTCA